CTAGTGGTGCTATTTTCTGCGTAGCTGTGAAATATATACATATATGGCTTATGTATTTGATTTTGTAACAATTAATCGCGTAGGCTATCGTATAGTTTCCCGACTATATAATAAGCGGTAACAGTTAAGATAAAAAAACAAGAAGGGAAAACTAACTTCGGGCGGAGCCGAAATTGATATACACATGCAGTTAATATCGGACTGTATATCGCAAATATGGGATATAATTTATTTTATTTTTAGATTTTTTTTTTTTTTTTTGAATTGACTAATCCTTATGAAAGTTTTGTTATAAAACCAACTAAAATTCATTTTAAAACTCATTTTTAAATACCCAATCAAAAAAAGTCCCAATTTTATATCTTAAAAAATACGAAAATTAGGTTATTTCCGATTTTTCAGTTTCCGGTATGGAATCTATAGGATGTAATCGGCCTATCCTTATGAAATTTCGAATGTCGAATCAATTGTCCAAAAATGTAAAAGTTGCTACCTTATATGTTAAAATTCACGAAATTTGTTTCATTTCCGATCATTCACTTATGGCAGAAATTCAAATTATGAAATTTGGTATGTCTTATCATTTTGCCAAAAATAGAATCCGGCAAATAGAATAGAATAGGAAACTCTCTAAATCTATAAACAGACAAATTAAAAATTTGCCATAGAAATAGTTCGGCATCAAAACTCACATTTACCTCTGTCATTAGGCTTTGCGCCTCTGCTACCATACCTAACTCGAGTCGCTCCTTTCTGACAATCACAGCACATTTTGTGTATCAAGAGTCACATAACTCTATAAGCCTTAAATATACTAGAACGGATCAGGTTTCTTTAAATATAAATATTTGTCTTTTTTTTGTGTGTTTGTCGTCCATTTTTTATCGTGCTTGTCTTGTGCTATGTCGATACGTGTCTTATTAAAGAAGATTTAAGTTAAACATATTTTCGACGTTCAATTTAGTCAGGTACCAGTGAGTATGTAGTCTGTTGAAAGAGGCTTGCGCAGAGTTTCAAATAGACCGTGTCGACTGAAACCTTTTGAAAAATTTTTGACAACCGTAGAAATTATAATGAAATCACAGAACTTTAAGTACTGTTCAAACGTTTTTTAAAAGCATACTAGCTGTTCAATCCAGTCAAAGATAGATTGTCAAAAAAGAAGAATTTTACATTTCATCTTATATAGCTGTCATATAACTGAACAATCGGAAATGACACAACTTTCGTGTTTTTGAAGATAGATGGTTTGAATTTTCTGCAGATTATATTTTTTTGCCAATTAATTCAATCTACCAAATTTCATAAAGGATCGACCGTCTATATTCTATAGCTGTCATATAAATGAACGATCGGAAATACTACACACTTGGTTATCGACTTTGGTACCAACTTTGGTATTTTTGACGGTAGAAGCTTAGGACATTTTTTAGATTTTGTATTTTATAAATTGTTTTTTTCTATAATTGTTATATGTATAAATGGTTTTTGTTATGATATTCTCAGAAGGATCGGTCAATTATATCCGATGTTTGCAATATATTTCGGCAATAGCAATAGCAATATTCTGTGCTCCACGTAGCCGCAGCCAAAAATCGAGAGCAAGAGCAGAGCAGAAATGTGTCAGCGCAAAACTATATTATTGATGACGTTTCTTAAAACGATTAAAAAAATGGAACTATAAAATATTTGTACATGCTCGGCATGCTATTATCAGCTTCAAAGTAGATACCAGTTAGGTTAATATTAAACCGTAAACTTGAAAAAGTTTAAGTTCTCTTCGTAAGAAAAAATTTTTTAAAATACTATTAATAATCCCATAATAGAATGTATTATGGTTCAGACGACCAATTTTTTTTGGCAAAAATTAATTTTTTAAACATTTGAAATTTAAATATAATTGTATGATAATGTACACAAAAGAGATTTAAAAATCTTTTAAATTTATAAAAACCCGAATTTTACCATGCGAAATACATACTCTTTGGATTAAAGTCCTAAAAAGTTGGTTTGTGTCCTTATATCTTACAAATGGTATGTGATATGCTACAATTTTTTTTTTTTAAATATCAGGTTTTAAATTAGGGTTTTAAATTTTTTTAAATTAGGGTCGATTTCTATTGTTTAACTAGAGATATAAAACGAGCTAAGCCTAATCGAACCATAAGGAGTAGTTCAATCTGAACGGTGTTTCATTCTCTTTCGAATACATACTGTCTGAAAATGCACATTTGGGTGCATTCTTCAATAATTGACATTTTAAAAGCTTACTTTGTGGAGTGGGAAGCAGAACAGTTTTTTAATAATAATTAATTTGAAGAAAGCTTATGAAAAGGATTTTAGATTGGGAAAAGGAGTTTTAAAAAAAAAACCTATTCACAATAAAAATAAATCTTTGAAATCATTTTCCATATTGCCAAATTTTCCAATTTTTCTTTCAAGGTCGTTATTTTTCTAATATTAAAAAAAAACAGTTTTTAGGCTTACAAAATGTTAATTTTTAAAAAAATTTTGTTATTTTATTGTCCCATTTGTCTGAACTTGGAGTTGTATATACATATAAACCATTAAAATTTGGGTAATATATCCTTAGAACTTTATAAACTGAACTGATTATAAGAACTTTAATAAACTGGCGCTACAGAAAGATTTTCGTTTTGAAGGGGGTGCAAAATTTTTGCAAAATCTTTGTCCCATTTAGTCTCCAAAATCCACGTGTTTCAAATTTTAATACGTTAGTATGGATATTGGTATGTACATGTCTATATCTCCCACAAAACTGGCCGATTTGGAGGAATTTTGTTAAATAAGCTATAGAAATAGTTTGTCATAAAAATTTTTTCATACCCTTGCAGAGGGTATTATAAGTTTGGTCAAAAAGTGCAACGTAGTGAAGGAGACATTCCCGGACCCTATAAAGTATATATATTCTAGGTCAGGATCAGGATCGTGAGTTGATATAAGCATGTCCGTCTATCTGTTTCTACGCCAGAGGATACTTTTTTATTTGTTTAATAACTGTTGTTAGAAAACATTTTTTTTAAATAATATACATTATTTTAGTGTCAATTCCAACTTTTGAAAGTGAAATGACCAAAAGACTCACGAAGCTGCTCCAGAGGTTGCCGACTTGTGCTTTTGAAGAATACCTACGTCAGGTTGAGCCCGGCGACCCCGAGCACAACTTGTGGCAACTGACAAGTCACATCAAGCGTCCAAAGACAAGGGTTGCTCAGGTTAGGAAACCCGACGGTGAGTGGTGCCGCTCCGATCAGGAGAGGGCGGACGCATTTGCTGCTCATTTGGAAGACGCCTTCACTCCATTCAATAGATGCTCGGAGGTGGACCAAGCTGAGACTGAGAGGTTTCTGCACTGATTTCTGTCAATTGGATCCAGTCTCGGAAGAGGAAGTTCAAGAGGAGGTCGCTGGCCTTAACACCAAAAAATTCCCGGGTGCGGATGGCCTGGAAGCACTTGCCATTAAACTTCTCCCCCCATTAGGTATCCAAAGGCTTACGAGCATATTCAACGTGTGCTTGGAGATCGGCCACTTCCCCTCTGACTGGAAAAAGGCGGAGGTCATCCTCATTCCGAAGCCAGGAAAGCCTGAAGCTGAACTTGCCTCATACAGGCCGATAAGCTTATTATCAGTACTATCCAAGTTACTTAAGAGAGTATTTCTGCGCAGATTTCAGACCGTATTAGACGAGGTTGGCTTGATTCCAGACCATCAATTTGGTTTCAGGCGTTGTCACGCCACCCCGGAGCAATGCCACAGGATTGTACAAAAGATTCTAAACAGCCTGGAGGAGAAGAAATATTGTTGCGCAGTTTTCCTTGACGTCAAGCAGGCATTTGACAGGGTCTGGCATCCAGGACTACAAATGAAAATAAAAAGGAGCGTACCCCATGAGCATTCCGCCTTCCTCAAGTCATACCTGAATGACAGGTCATTTAGGGTTAGATGTGGAGACGCAAGGTCAGATTATAGGCCCATTAAGGCAGGTGTACCGCAGGGCAGTGTACTTGGCCTCATTCTGTATACCATATACACAGCCGACATGCCTGTCGCTGAAGAGGAGGGCCTTCTAGCGGATACGTATGCAGACGATACGGCATTTTTGACCTCTGCAATCTTTCCAGAGGAGGCCTCTGCGTCTCTCCAACGCCAGCTGGACATACTTGATCCGTGGCTTCGAAGGTGGAACATTGCCGTCAACCACGAAAAATCAGGCCAAACGACTTTTACAATGAGGAGAGGCGACTGTCCTGGAGTCAGTCTCGGAGGCACTCCAATTCCAGCAAGCCCTACACCCAAATATCTGGGTATGACCCTGGATAGAAGGCTCACCTGGAAAACCCACCTGCAGCGCAAACGGACGCAAATCGGGATCAAGCTGCGTCAGCTCAACTGGCTCATTGGAAGGAGGTCCAGGCTGAAGCTAAGAGTCAAGCTCCTTATATATAAAGCCAGTCTGGACCTATGGTATCCAGCTATGGGGGACGGCGTGTCTAAGCAACCGAAGGATCATCCAGATCGCCCAAAATAAGGCCCTAAGAACTTTAACTGGAGCTCATCCGTTCCACGACAATGCGACAATCCACGACCAACTGACAGTCCCATATTTGAGCGAAGAAGTTCAGCGATTCGCCAATAGATACGTGAAAAGGCTGGACCGACATCCTAACCCTGAGGCCATCAATCTTCTTGACAACAGCTACACCATAAGGAGGCTGAAACGGACCCACCCACTGGACCTCTGCCACTCGGGCGAACGGGACTGAGCTGCAGTTGTAAAACCAACAAGGCCCACTAAAGGGCTCGACAATAAATTAATTGAATTCTATCGCTAAGGTTTAGTGTTAAAATTAGTTTCCTAGGATAAGCAAACATTGTACTAATCAATATTTCATCAAGTTAAGGTCCCATTATAAAATTTAATTATTGTCCATAACTCCGGACAGATTTTAAATATTTTTTTTAAACTATTGATTGATTGATAATACAAAAAAATTCCAACTTTTTAACTAACAAAAAATTAAATTAAAAACTACGTTTTTTTTTGCAGTGAATGCTCTGCTTCCATTGTTTTTTGCTGATACGCATACACAACAATACCACAATCAAAATAATACCACATACCAATTTTCATAAGAATCAGCCGACTATATCGTATAATTGCCATTCAACTGAGAGATCGGAATTGGTTGGGGTTGGGTTGGTTCGTTGGTTGGGGGCGTGTCAAAAACTTGAAACCAACATCAAACGCGTGTGCATTATAGCTCTAGCCTTGTAGTCTATAGCTCTATCCTATAGTTCTATCTCTTGTAGTCTCGCGACCCACGCGTTCATACAGACAGACGGACATGTCTACATCGACTCGGCTGTTGCTGATCATGAATATATATACTTTGTGGGACAGATTTTTTTTACGGAGATGATTCCTTCTCTATTTTACATAAAATTACACGAAAACAATATACCCTTGTACCCTACACGTACCAGGTAATTAGCCTAAAATTCGCATGGCGTGATAAACTATTGAACTACAAACTGGGCAAATTGCATCAATGGAAATGCAAATCTGATTAGCACATTCCATACAAAACATATTGTGACCACAGGGAACTAAAGCAGTAGTAACTTCATTTTCATTGCAAACAAAGCATTCGCGGTGAATAGATAATTTATCTTCAGAGTGCTGGACTTGATTGGTTTGTATTGGTTGTTTATGGTTGTTAAAAAATGGTGTCTCCTTTTCATGATTACGATTTTTTTTTTTTGATCCGTGGTTGCCAAGGCCTAGAAGTGAGTCTGTTGGGCTTATTGAAATTGTAGGTGAGCAATGAGCGGTGGGTAAAATATTATTTGATTGATTCCAAATGCTAGGTGAGTCGCCTATTCCCTCATCGATGTCAATAGAATCTCCTATATTTTTCCATATATTTACCATTTCTGGTGGCGTGTTGGGCCTGTTATTCGTACTTTTCGTTGAAGTTGTAGACGATGCAGATGAACAAGATCGAGTTAAAATAGTTGCCGCAGAGTTAGATTGTATTGACGAAGTGTTTGATACTGACGGACACAACGATGAAGCTTTGCCTATCCCATTACGAAACACATTCTGCTTCTTTGAAAATTGTTTATCAGAAGTACTTGTTTCCGTTATAGTTGTTATTAAATCTAAATCAGCGAACTTAATTTTTTGACTGCAGTTATTTACGTGATGGTATGGAAAAGTTTTAATATTATTAATATTTTTATTATCTATTTCGTTTGCAACATTACTTATTTTGTTATCTAAATATTCTAAAGATGGTAAAGAATTTGTGTATATAGATGATAATTTTTCGGAATTTATATCATCGTTCAGTATCTGAGCAAGAGAATTTGTTGGAGGTAAACTTCCAAAATCATTAATGTCGACAGATTCACTATCTTGTACGGTATTGCCAGAAAAATTCCCAAACCCTGAACCAGTGCGAAGAGCAATGTGAGCCTCTATCTGCTTTCGTGCAGAATCTACATTCACTGGCAAGCCAGTAACTTCAAAAATAGGTTCCTTTTCACGAGATGGTGTAACGATATAAGTTTGCGTTTCATGTTGTATGTGTTTTATAGTTGCACCCTTTGGCCCAACAACAAGTCCCACAACTCGATAGGGCACTCTTACTTGAATAGTAATTTGCCCAGGAATACAAGGAGGTCCAGCCTGCATTCGGGAAATCGTACTTATGTTGCTACAGGAATCACTTGCTATTGATCCGCTGTTTTGTCCATCGCTGAAAGGTTTCCTTGATGCGCGTATTAGACTAAAATGATCAGCAGCAGATAGTATTTCCCGCTTTGCCTTATTTACATCTTCCTTTCGGCCAGTTACCACAAAAACCGGTTCTTCTCCTCGTACTGGTGTCTTAATGTAAGTGTTGGTTTTGGCTCTCAAGGCCTTTATTTTGCAACCTAAAAAAAATAAAGAACATTTTAATATACATTTTTAAGTAATGCATAAAAAAGTATAAGGGTAATTAAAAAAAAAAAGGACTTAAACTAAATTTATTTGGATCCAAGGTTACAGCCCGCCAAGGCAGACGCCAACCTAAATGGAGCTTTTTAGTTTAATTTTAAGAGTTTTATTGGCTATTAAGCTTATATAAGCATTGAAACGGTGAGTGACTATATAAATGAACTCATGCTAAATGACAGGACCAATAAAAATCTGGGCGGGTACCATACGAGTCCATGATCAAAATCGGATAGTTTTCTCTCGGTATTATTAGTCCGTGCACATCCAAATCGGATAGTTTTCTCTCGTTATTGTTAGTCCGTGAACATCCAGTGTCGTTAAACAAACGTTATTTTTCAACCTTAATAGGTCGATCACTAACGGACGGGCCGACATACGGACATGCCTATATTGACTCGGCTGTTGATGCTGATCAAAAATATAAAGTGGGGAGCAAAATTGATTTCATGTTCAGCATATGCATTAAAGCGGGTCAATTTTTTTTCGCAAAAATCGTCCCCCATAATCGGAATCTACGAAAAATTCTAAGAAAATTTCACCATGAAACCATGTGTCTAAATGTATTCCTAGCTCGCGCCGTGAAGCTTAAAGATTTCACTATGAGGTACATAAGGTATTTCGAGGTATTTAAGACATTTTAATGTATTTTAAAAAAAACATACGCATTTTCAAATTATGTTGGAGTCAATTCTGATTCATCTTTTTACAACAAATTTTAATTTTTTTTTGAATTTATTTAACTTATAATTTATTTTTTATTTCGAAAAAAAGGTCCAAGCTAGCCATGTACTGAGCATTATATAAGAAAGTAGGAGCAATGCGTCTGTAACTTTTTAAGGAAGTACGGTATTGATCTAAAAATTGAAATATATATTCAAAGGCACTTTAAGCAACTAAATAAAAGTAGGCGTGGCATGATTTAATTTTATTTTTTATTATAAAGTTTATTTGCTTTCCAACAAGTAGGTAATTTTTGCATTTTGTTGACTTGGAATATAACGTCATCTTATTAGAATCTCAAGTCTTTCTTTGACTCCATTTGAGGAACTTTGGAACGGATTTCCAAAGTCAATGACATAACAGCATCTCGAGGCTGTGGCATAACTCGTCGCGACCATTCGCCTCCGTCTTCTAACGGACTCTGACGCTCGACTTATGATGTGCAACATGAGAAAGGATAAGCTTTTAACACCAAAAAGTGCTTCTACGGTGTTTAATATAACCGTAAGTCGATGGACAACTAGAAAAGCACTGGCTAGAATTGGATATGTCGCCTCTGTTAAAAAAAATAAACAAGCTCTATCCGAGAAAAATGTCAAGGCTCAGTTACGATTTGCAAGGACACACAAAAACTGGACTATAGAAGACTGGAAAAGTGTTATCTGGTCGGACGAATCCAAGTTTAACCGTCAACTCATATCAACTGGGGAGGTGATCCTGATCAAGAATATAAATACTTTCTAGGGTCGGAGATGTCTCCTTCACTGCGTCTCGAAACTTTGCACACATCCCCTTTCTATTGCACTCAGTATATAAGTCGGAACGACCGGGATCGGCCGACTATATCCTATAGCTGCCATATAACTGATTGACCGGAAATGGAATAACTTTGGTGTTTTTAAAGAGTTCAAATTTGACATGAGAGCTATTTTTGCAAAACATTACATGCCAAATTTCATAAGGATCGGTCGACTATATCTTATAGCTGCCATATCGACGCATTTCCGCGAAAGTATCGTATGTTGAAAAATCCAATTTTACAGGAGAAGCTTTTTTTTTATTTCATCTCTTACAAACAATAAGCAAAATCAAAAGATGTTTAAGCGATTAGAAACATTTGTTATTGTATTTCTTATTTTTGTGCATTTGAAGTATTTCCATGCAAAAAATTTGTATGGACATACGATAATTTCGCGCGCAGATTGAAAAGCACTGTAACGTACGATAAAATTGAAACTTAATTTTTATCGCAACTATAGGGTTTTCAGTTATAATATTTCACAGGGTAGTAAGACATTAGGTGCCTAACAATTTTTCATTCAAATCTCAATTTCGAAAAAAGGCGACTTACGATACTTTCGCGGAAATGCGTCGATATGACTGAACGATCCAAAATGACCCAACTTTCCTGTTTTTGAAGATAGAAAGCTTAGTACTGAAACTTAATACAGATTCTACTTTTGGTCAGTTGATCCAACCCACCAAATTTTAATTAGGATCGGCCGACTATGTCCTATAGCTGCCATATAACTGAACGATCGGAAATGGTATTTGGTAGAAATATGAACTTTCGTATTTTTGAAGATAGACTTTTGTTTGGGACTTTTGTTAGATTTTTTATTTTAGTTAATTAGTTTTATTATGATGTAATCATAAGGATCGGCCAACTGTATCCGATGTTTGCGATATATATCCGGTTTTAACTGCAAGGGTATATCAACTTCGGCTCCGCCCGAAGTTAGCTTTCCTTTCTTGTTTTCTACTGGCATTGAAAACTATCAATGACCAAACATTGGTGAATCCCGACGTAATCGTTATTATATCTATTTGTATATAAACAAATTACTAAAACAAAAAAAAAACAATTTATAAACAAGGGAACAGTTTGTTTATAATAATAAGCAAATTACTACGTAATATGTATGTATATATAATGTATATATGTATGTATAATATATTAATACATACATACAGACATAAGCATAAACGGCAGTTGCATAAACGCAAGTGCATATACATACTTACGTTTCACAAGGCAAGTGCATTCGCCCACGCATATACATACATTATAAATACATACGTTCCACAACACAAGTGCATTCGCTCGCACATAACTTCATACAAATAGACGTTCCACAATTCCGCTACGGTTCTGAGCACACAGTGGGACAAATCGTGTTCGCCGCGAGCAAATAAATTTGAGCGATACAATTTTGGCGCCAGAATTATTTACTTCGGGTTTTTCGGAACTTAATATAGGGGAGCTTAAACTTTTTTTTTAATAAAACCCAAACGGTTTGACTTTTCAACTAACTTTTTTTTTATTATCGAATTTGAACATATACATTTAATTATGAAATTCGATTTCTTCCGCATGACCACCGCGTGCACGTTTTACGAAGTCCAATCGTTGAACCCAACAGCAATTTTGCGTTCAATATTTTCTCTGAGCTCTTGCAACGTCGCCGGCTTATTGGCATACCCCAGTGGTCGGCACCCCAATACATTGATATGATTTTACCGCATTAGTGTTAGTAACGAATAGCAGAAAGTCGGCACCCCAATACATTGATATGATTTTACCGCATTAGTGTTAGTAACGAATAGCAGAAAGTAGGCTTTGAGCATGACATTTATACTGTGTGTGGCAGAGCTCGGGCAGAGAAATTTCCTATGCCCCCGGGATAGGGCCGTGCCGACCTCTGGCATAGACCAATGACTTCACGTAACCCCAACGAAAATAGTCTAGAGGTGTCAAATCACACGAGCGCGGCGGCCACTCGACCGGTCCATTTCGCGAAATAACACGCTTATAGAACTTAGTTTTCAATATTGCGATTGTAGCGTGTGCTGTGTGGCATGTAGCCCCTGTTGAAAGTAAATGTCGTCCACGTCCAATCCATCCAATTGCGGCGAACAAAAATGGTTTATCATATCGCGGTAGCGATTTCCATTCACAGTAACATGGCGATCGTTATCGTCGACGAAAAAATATGGCCCAATGATGCCGCCGGCATGTAATCCGCCTCACGAACCACGTATGGGTTGCTTCCTGCCCAGTAACGCATATTTTGCTTGTTGACAAATCCATTTAGCCAAAAGTGAGCCTCATCGCTGAAGATGATTTTTCGGTGAAAATCTGCATCATTTTCGAATGGCTCTTGAGCCCAATTCACGAATCGGCGTCGCTTCAAATGGTCAAACGGCTTTAGTTCTTGTGTCAGCTTGATCTTATATGGATGTAAGCCAAGATCTTTACGCAAAATTCGCCACAATGACGTCACAGAAAGACCCAATTGTTGCGAACGTTGTGTGAGCGACACATTCGCGTCTTCTTGAACTGAAGCGCTGGCGGCTGCGATGTTTTCATCACTTTGGGCACTTCTTGCTCTCACGGGCACCGGAACATTATGTAGCGAAAACGTAAATTTTGCCACTAGACGGTCGATTGTCGAACGGGCTAGCTTGTTAAATGGACCGTAAAATGGCCGTAATGCTCTTTAGCCTGTTTCCAAGGTGGATGATGACATGGTCCACGTGCGACATGGGAGCTTGAGGATTTGAAAATTTTGCAGATCAGCAGTGACCTTCAATGGACTGTTTCGGAGCTCGTAGCGACGATGCAGGCCAAAATTGAGCACGTCACGACCCTTCGCTCATCTCGAATTGCTGCCCACACCACCCTTGCAACGGAATGTAATTACGGATTTTGTATTACAACGGATGGAGTATTTGGCCATTTTTATGATTTATTTATTTTTTTTTTTAGTTTTATAAAGAATAATAACACCGAAGACCGCGCCGGTGTTGCACCAGCGGCGCCCCATTATTTTCATAATTTGGCGGCGGCGCGTCAAATAAGGCAAAAATCGGCGGCGGCGGCGGCGTGGCGCGGCAGCGTATATGTCTACTATGATGCACTGAATTTATTGGAAAACGATTTAATAACCGTCGCTTAATATTTCAGGCACACGTGAACGAGATTCTGGGCCTCAGTCTGTTGGAAAGTTGCTCAATTGCAGCTCTTCGAGGTCTTTCGGACAAATTCAATGCCTTATGCGAGCCTTAAAGAATTTGGTTTCGTTAAATCAGATCGCCAGCTGCATCATCGTCCAGGTTCTGCTTCAAGGCTAAGTGGGAGGAGAGTCAAAACTCCTCAGGTTCAGACGATATCCCTACTTGGGAGTCGATCGCCGAATTTTTGGAGCAGCGATGT